TGACTGCACTCCTCTGAGCTCATCTGTAAAGGGGACCTAATGGTTTCTACATCATAGAGTGGTTGTGAGGGGCACTGTGGTGGTTTAGGAGACATGCCTAACACCTGGTGGAAACTGGATATATGGTGGTTGTGATAAGATTTGGGTGATTGGAGATGGAAGGTTCGTCTCTTCTTCATTTGGGCAAAACCATTTCCCACCATTTAACTCTTGTTTGACTGGTGGCAGAAGTCAGGACAGGCTCCGGGTGTGGGAAGTTCTCTCCAATTCCAGTTCATCAAATCCACTGTTGGCATTGGCCTGCGTCTCTTGGCTAGGAGAAGAACAACTGCTTTCTCCTCCATTGTTACCCAAGAGCTCTCCTCAACTAGGAAAATAGACACCTTCTTCCATCTGTCCTGCCCCTCCATTTTTAACCATTTAAAAGTGTGCAGTTCAGCGGTCTTAAGGATATTCATTATGTTGTGCATCCATCACTGCTGCCTATTTCCAGAATGTTTTCATCACCCTAAACAAAAACTCTGTGCCCTTTAAGCAATAACGTGCCCCTTGGTGATCTGTTTCCCTTTCTGTCTCTGCTAGTTCGCCTGCTCCAGGTGCCTCACAGAAGCAGTAAATTGGGGACGGGTCAGCGGAGAGCGGGTCCTGCACGTAAGGAAAGTGGAGCTTCTTCCAAGCTGAAGAAAACCACTGGAGTGTTTTAAACAAGGGTGTACCACAATCAGAGGTACATTTTTATTTTTATTATTTTTTAATTTTTTTAAAGGTTTTGTCTATTTGAGAGAAAGCATGCACACACACAAATGGGGACAGAGGGAGAAGGAGAAGCAGACTCCCTGCTGAGCAGGGAGCCCAACATGGGGCTCAATCCAAGGACTCCAAGATCATGACCTGAGCCAAAGACAGATGCTTAACGGACTGAGTCACCCAGGTGCCCCTGTAGGTACATTTTTAAAACAATCTCTCTGGCTGCGGACGAGACAACTTGACAAGGGGAGTCAAGCATGAGTCCTCTGGGGGATAACATCCTCCTCTACTCTCCTTGCCTCTCCGTCTTCGCCTGAGCTGTTCCCTCTGTCTGGACGTCCTCTCTTCCCCTTTGCCTGGACAACTACTCCTGATCATTTCTCACTTTGCTCTCCTGTCCTCCAGGAAACCTTCCCCTCCTCCCTTCCTCCCCCCACCCCACCCCTGGCTGGGCTGGGAGCCCCTCTTCCGTGTCCCCATGGAACTCCAGGTCCCCTCCCAGCCGGGTCCTCATCACACTGCTGGGCACTTCCTGCCCCTCCATCGCCCCCCACCCTGGACCATGAGGCCAAAGAGACACAGTTGGGTGTGGCATACTTCCTCTCAGGGCCAAGCACAGAATGGTACATGGTGACATTTCGATACGAAAGTAGGAGAGACAGGGAGGGCGAGACAGAGACAGAGAGATTGAGCAGGGGGACCCTTCTGACTTCCTGGTCCCCGATCCCGTGGCAGCCCGGCGCAGACAGGACTCCAGCAGCGCATGCGTGCGGCGGCACGAGAGCAGCCAGGGGACCGGAAGCCAGCTGGAGACAGGCACCGAATCCCACCCAAGTGCTCCGGAGTGATCCAGGTCAGCTGCCCCTACGTTCCCAGTGCAACAGGTGAAGAGAGAAAATACACAGGGCTTTGAGATGAGACACAAGCAGGGCGGAGAGACGCTGGGAGGCAGTAGGACCCGTGCCTGGGGCACACACCCGGGACCCAGCGGCCTGGTTTCAGGCTGTGCTCTGCCACGTGCCCCCCCGCAAGGCTCCGTGCCAACGGCTTACCCTCTCGCAGCCACTGTTCCCGATCTGTAAAGTGGGGGTACGGCGTGCAGCTGATTGCAGGGGTATTGGGAAAATCGGGCGTGGCGCTAACTGAACGGTTCGCCCCAGGGCCTGGCACGGGGGGAAGGCCTTAAGAAAATGCTGGCTCTCCTTGCTAGTCCTCTGCCAAGTTCTTCTTTGTTCCTTCCTAACAGAATGATTCAAGGGCTGGTTGTTGCAAATATTTTCTTCTCTCCAGTGTTTGCTTTTGGCCCACTTCGAGATCCGAATTAGAGCCTCGTCATGCAGGGAAGCGAGTATGACAGAGCTTTGGAATTAGTCCCCACGTCTGCGTGGAGTAGTGTTGTCCGCCTCTCTTCAGATGACTCAGGAGCCCGGAGAGGCGAGGGGACGTATCAGCTGCCACGCAGTGAATAAGTAGGAACATCGGGGTTTGAGCCCAAGCCAGCCTGCGATTCCATGGGTCCCCAACCCACGTGCCACTGCCCATGGGGCTGGGGCGTGATCCCGAGCCTCACTGAGCCTGGGAGAGGGGTGAGCTTTACAACAAGCTTCTCTAGGAGTGTGGGAGAAAGCTGTTCCTGGCCTTGTCCTGCGCATGCGCGGAAAGGACGCCGCAGAAGGAAAGGAAAAGCCGTGAATAAACTGTTTTCGAGGCTCGCAATAGGCTCCAGGGGTGAAGTATGCCAAACCCTGATGGTGTGAATCAGGATTATCCGCAGTGTCTCTGCCCTGGCTATCCTTACTTACTCCTCTTTATGATGAACAATGGTCAAGAGAGGCCCCTACTCCTCTATTCGGGTGCCGGCTGACTCCCAGGAATGGGAGCTGTTGTACCCCATCTCTTAGAGCCTTTGTCTATCCCAAGGTTATTACCAAGAGCTTACAGAGGTAGAGGTGGGGAAGCTGAGCACGATGTGAAGAATAAGGAGGCTGGAGAGAGACTGGGGATGAAGTTGGGCTTAGGGAAGAAGAAGCAGCTGCAGCCCCAGGCTCCCAGATTCCCGGGGTGGCAGTGAGTCGACTCCACCCAAGTCCTCTGGGTCCCCTGGCCGGAAGCCAGCCTGATGTGTGGCCAGGCACTCACTGAGACTGGGCCGTGGCCATCGGACGCTGGGGACGGGGGCTTCCACACTGACATCCGAAGTCCTTTGCACCTGCCTATCAGACCCCACATGCTGCCTGAGAACACGGACAAGGAGGAGAAGAAAGGCAAATTCGGATCCCGAAGAGTCCTCTCTGAAAGGGAGGAGGTAGATGTCATCTCCAGGCTGGAGGGGAGTGGTGGGGGGAGCTGAGCTTTGGGGCCCAAAGGACTGGGCTCAACTTCTCCTCCCTCCCTGTGTGGCTGGGGCGTCCATGCACACGTCTGCTGGTTGTGACGATACAGCGCAACATGAGGAAGTGTGTGGAACATAGTAGGTGCCCAGCAGACGGCTCCTTCCATCTTCCTCCTTGTAATGAATCAGGTGCAGGGAGAGGACCAGCGCCTGGAGAACGGAGAACGCTGGTGCGTCAGAGCGGGAATGATGGCATTAATCACAAGGATAGATGGCGATGGAGCACTCATTAAGTGTTGGCTGCATTAAGTGATGCTGCCCACACCCTCTGTTTCACCCCCCACAAGAGCCCAACGAACTAGAGACCGTTATCCCCATTTTACAGATAAGCAAACTGAAACTGAAGTTGGAAACTTGTCTAAGGTCTCTCCACCTGTGAGCTGGCAGAGCCAGGAAGCAAACCCATGTCTCCAATATTCTGAGCCACAGCCCTGTCCTACCTTGGACGGGGTGGGGGGGGGGGAAGGAGGGGTGGAGAGAGACAGCCCCAGAGAGGGCAGCCCTGGGCCCCCACCCCTCAGCGTTGGCAGATTGGAGCCTTCGCACCCAGGAGGGCTGAGGGAGTGAGCGGGGGACTCTGGAGTCAGACAAGCCTGTGTCTGTTCCTAGCTAGCTTGATGACTTAACTGGCTGTCTGTCTCTGGGGACGTTTCTTCGCTCTGAAACCTCTTTTTCCTCACCTGCAAGATGGGGATAATATTCACTACCTGGCCAGGTGGTGAGGATTCAACCCAACGGCTTTGGCTGAGCGCCTGGCCCAGCATTGGTGCCCAGGGAATGGGCAGCCCCTGCCAGGCTTCTGAAACAGACGTGCCTCCCCCCCCCCCACAAACTGCCTGTCTGCTGTTGACTGAGAGGAGAAGCATGTTCTTTTCCAAACTCAGAGACCTCCCCCCACCTTCAAGTTGCTGCTGGCATGGGCCGAGGGCTCCCAGGAAGTAGGGATTGCCCCCCCACCCAGGATGCAGGCAAAGGCACATCGGAGCCCATGTTTTGAGGGGGATTTCATGGTATTCATTTTGTGTTGCCACCAGAGAAAAGTAAACTGCAGCTCCTGGCTGCCGGGGAAAGGCTGAGCTCCTGCCAGGGCTGGTTGTGCCTGGCACCAGCCCAGGCATGTCCCAGAGTCAGCAGTGGGTGCAGGCAAGTGTGCACACAGAAGTGTTCCGACACACGCATGAGCAGCTGCACACGGAGCCGCCACATCACACGGCACCGACGCCGGCTGCCCCCCTTCTCGTCGCTTCCCTCGTCGGGGGGCTCTCTGCTTCTTCCGCTGTCTCTAGATCCCTGTAGGCTCAGAGCCTGTCCTCTTTCCCAGTTTTCCTTCTCTCTCTTCCTCTGACTCCCTGCGTCTCCCCCGTCTCTCTGGGTGGCCCCATCTCTGGCACTCCGCGTCTCTCCGTTTTTCCAACTCTTTCTCGTCTGTGTCACACACTATCTCTCTGACAGTGTCTCCTTCTCTTTCCGATTCTCTGAATCTTCTGTTTCGCTGCTTCTCTCTCTGTGTCCCCATCTGTCTCCAGATCTGTCTGACTCCCTCTGTCTGTCTCCAGATCTGTCTGACTCCCTCTGTCTGTCTCCAGATCTGTCTGACTCTCTCTCTCTCTCTGTGTCTCCATCTGTCTCTGTATCTCTCTGTCTGCCCATCTCTTTCTTTCTGTTTCTCTTTTTCCAACTCTTTCTGTCTCTGTCCTTCCCTACCTCTCTCTCTCTCTTTTTTCTGTGACACTCTCCTGGAAATGCATCAAAGACTGAAGTGGCCGGATTTCAAGTGACAAACAGCACTACACCCAGGATCCAGCCCCCTCCCTGCACGGCTGCCTTCCTCCTCCACATCCCCTGTCACGAAGAGAAGCCTATTGTGTGGGGCCCAGGGAGTTGGAGTTGAAGGGCCCGGGGGTCTGCTCCTTTGACTGCTCTGAGCTGCTTCCCCATTGGCTCCCAGCAGCCGGTGCTCAGCAAGGGCTGAGCGACTCGGGGAGGCTCTAGTCCATAAAAGGGGGGGCGAGGCACCAGAACTGCCATTCTGAGGGGCTTTGGTGATGCTCACAGCCGCCTCGTTGGCACCTCCTTCCGAGCCAGAGTCAGGGAGACCCCTGCCTGAGTCCTGACCCAGCCACCTGCCACCACCCTCCGATCTGCTCAGCCAGAAGCTGCCCAGGGACAAAGAAGAGCACAGGTAATATCCGGAGGGGCACGGGAATCTCTCTTTTGATTATATCTGTTTTTCCTGGTCCTCTGGACCCGGAGGTGGTAGGAGCTCGGGGTGGGGGATTTCAGGTCTGGGTCTGATAATCCAGCAGATAGAGTCACAGTTATGAAGCTAGTTTACAAACGCCAGATCCATCTGTGTGAGATGGGCAGTTCTTCGGAATCCCCCCTCGGTGCAGCCCCGGCTTAAATAGGTGGAAGGGTTCTTCTCCCCCAAGAGGACCACCCCTTGGTTTTAGCTCCAGGGTCTTCTTCTTCCCCAGCAGTCGGCACACACGGTTCCCATGTGAAGATGGGATACCTTGGGTGGAAGAAGTGAGTTGAGCCACTCAGGGCGGTTTTAAAGGTCAGTGATTCTCACCGGACTTAGACAACAAGGTCTGGGGGAACGTTAATGAGATTCGGGGCTCTGGCATTTACCAGGTATCATGTACATCAATGTACAACCAAGTTCAGCCTTCTCATTCTTTTTTGGATCGTGTTTAATTGCTGACAGGGTGCTGGCTTGAGTGGTTTCCTTTGACATAATTTACACAGAAATGAAGTTTGGGGCTATTTTGGTGGGAGGGAATGGGGAAAGGGAGTGACAGCATGCGGAGAGACTCAGGCTTAGCAGGATTTTTCTTGTCAATTTTACTTTGAAAGGACTTGTTGCTTTCATGTAAATTATAGCCAAGTTGGGCAGGGAAGAAGCAGCTCAGATGGGAAAGTGATTTGCTCCCTGGTAAAGATATCCTTGTTCAAGGAAAGTATTATAGAATCCCAAAGTTTGACTCCAGCAAAAAAGCTGGTGAGTTTCAGAGAAAAGGAAAAAAAAAAAAAAAAGGCGGGGGGTGGGTAGAAGTCTGGTGACGACATGGAGGTTGAATAGTAAATTCTGTGACCTCGTACTTTTTTCCTGGGTATCTTTTATCTAGAATCTCTCCAAGCTTTACAAACATTCCTTAATTAAGCCTCCAACCTTCCCAGGGGAAACAAGCTCTTCAGGTTATTGGATCTGATTTCAATTCCCTTCCCACAGACTGAAAGTCTTCATTACCATCTTTCTTCCAAGGGTTGATAAAATATACAAGTCTTTCTAATTTGACAGGCGTTCCAGTCAAGATCCATGGCAAATGTTTCAGAATGCCAACCCCTGGCCTCCCCCTCCCACCGCCACATCTCCCTCTCTTTTCCCCCTTTCTTCCTCCCCTCAATCCCACTCCACCTTGCCTTTTGTTCTATTTTTGCAGGTCATTTATCTCCAGGCACTGAGATCTGCGTGGGGGAGCTGTTGCAGCAGCCCAAGGGTGAGCTGCGCTGCCTGGGGGAGGTTTGCGTTTGCTGACGGGATCTCAAGCCCACTGCTTTGCTCCAGATGCGCTAGAGGTGTGATGGGTGGCAGGCAAATCTTGTGTCCCCGCTTGCAGCTGGGAGTGAGATGTCGCCGTGCTTCCCAAGGAACCCAGCATGTTTTAGCAGAGCAGGCAAAGGGACTGGCTCGGGAGCTATTTGAGAAATTTGCCATCATCGTAAAGCAAACAGACGGGGATTCGGGTCTTGAGACAACTCCTGGGAGCCAGGAATGGTCCGTATATTGTCTAAATGTGTGTCTCACAATCACCCAGATCTGGGCTCAAATCCCAGGTCTCACCACTCATTTGCTGTGTGATTTGGGGACAGTAGCTGAGTGTTCATATCCTCATCCACGCAGTACAGGTAATAGTATTCACCTCCAAAGGTTATTGCGAGACTCCCATGGGATACTGTAATTTGCCTGGCATTCAGTAGGTACTCAATAAATGCTAGAGTACCTGCTCAAGTTCTCACTGTCCAAAGCAGCAGAGTTGGACCACTTCCCCTTCAGTCTTCATCACCCCCACACCATCGAGCCGTGCCCTACGTCCGGGAAATACATCTGGTATTTCAGTTTGTGGGGCTGGCACTCCCCTCCCCTCCCAATCCTGTCCTCTCCACACCAAGAGAAGACCATTTCTTCATCTATTGCCTCGGGATCAGGAAGTCTCTTCCTGATCCATCCTCCCTAGCCCCCCTACCGCTGCCTACCTCCTTGGGCCATTCTTGTACAATTTTTGTATTTATTAGATGTCTTCCATCATTCTAAGTGGGATCAATAGTTGGTTTGATTTCAACGCGTGTCTGAGAAGGTGCAGTTGGCTAGCTGATTTCTCTCACCGTTTTCGCTCATCTCAGCCCATAAATGTTGGTTAATCTCACTGTGTCGGACAAAGGGCTAAAATGATTTCACTGAGACAGGGCTGGCCATTGTGGAGGGCAGTAAATATTTCTGGAGACACTCAGTAAGCCCAGGATCAGGCCCTGGAGATGGAGCGGGGTCCTGGGTCCTTTGATGTTGGGCCTCATTAATCCCTCCCTCCCAGCCCAGGTCCAGATTGATGCTTCTGGCAAGAGGGTAAATGGCCCAGATCCACAAGGCACAGCCTTGGGCTCAGGAGGCTTCTCCCTGAGGCCATCCAGCTGTCCCCCTGGCCAGAGTGGGAGGCTCCAGGCCTGTTCACCATATTTGTCCTCCGTCATTTGGCTCTTTGACCTGTTATCGGACAGTCAGTTTAAGCTGAGAAGGGTTTAGTGAGCAGTTATTATGCGGTTGGCTCCCTGGTCCACTGGCAGGAGGAGGAACTGGTGTTTGTGATTACACAGTAGGTCAATGCGCTGAATCCAAGTCTACTTCCTGCCCTGCCTTCCCCGGCTCTGGTTCTGTTCCCTCCCCTCCTCCTTTTTCCCCTCCCCCGCTCCTCTGTTCCTCCGGTACCTTCTCCCTCTGGTCCCACACCTCTCCCTCTCTGTTCTGCGCCATCTCTCTGCTTCTCTGGTGTCTTTATCTCTTTCTCTGTGCACAAGGGTCTCTGCTACTCTTTGGCACACGTGCCTGTCTCTGTCTCTGTCTTCCTCTCTGTCTCTGTCTCTCTTTCTGCGTCTCTATCCCCCTCTCTCTCTGACCCATCTTCCTTTGCCTTTCTCCCCATCCCTTAATTGCGTCAAATAACAAAGGGTGGGGGTTTCATGTGACTCCTGCTCTTAAGAATCATTCTTTTAAAAACAAAGTGAATAACCCCCATGACCACGGAGTGCAGGGCCCTGTTTCACTCTGGTCCTCGAACAGCAAATGGCCCAGGAGAGAGGGCTGGCCCTGTGCATGGGCCCCCATCCCACATGTTCTGTGCTTTGTTTGATTCTTTTTTTTTTTTTTAAGATTTTATTTATTTATTCATGAGAGACAGAGAGAGAGAGAGAGAAGCAGAGGGAGAAGCAGGCTCCCAAGGAGCAGGGAGCCTGATGCGGGACTCGATCCCAGGATCCTGGGATCATGACCTGAGCCGAAGGCAGACGCTTAACCGTCTGAGCCACCCAGGCGCCTGCTTTGTTTGATTCTTGCCAGACTACACGGTGGGTTCACTTTCCATCCAGGATCCGAGCCCCCCATCCCCGCCAGGTGATAATCCATTCTTTGTTAATGACCCTAAAGGCCTCACAGGAACATCTTCCTCCACTTTTCAGGATCTCCCTTTGCCAGCCCCTGAAGACCCTCAAAGGTGAACTTTATATGTTTTCAGGTGGGGGTGGTGGTGGTGGTAAAACTCCAGAAACAGTCTCATCTCCAGGAACATGAGAATTTGGTGGGAGGACATTTAACGTGACCCCACGCCTCAGGGACTGTTTGTGGGTGGAGCTGCAGACTGACTTTCAAGCCTGCCTCTGCTATGTCCTTGCCTCTCGGCCTTGACCTGGTGATCTTGCCTCTCTGGGACTCTCTTTCCCCATCTGGAAAATGAGGCTCATCGCGCCAGCCTCCTGGATTCTCCTGAGGGCGAACATGCAGTAATGGAGCTGAAAGCGAGTTTGGCCCTGTAGCTGGGCCAGGCAGGGATGCTACGGACTCAGAGAGCCCAGCTCAGCCGTGCCTGCCCTTGGTCCCTTGGTCCTCACCCTTCCTGCCTAAGCCTGTGGCTGCCCCCGTAGTGGCCACAGGAGGCCACGGGCCTGGCACGCCCCTCAGCCGCCATGGGGCAGGTGGTTGGAGGGTCACTGAAACGCCATCTCCTCAGTTCGAGTCACCGCCTGGGTGTGGGAGGTCCCAGCTCGGTCTCCACTTCCTTCCTGACTCATGATGTGACCTTAAACAAGTGACTTCATTCCTACCTTTTCCCGTTTCCTCTGCTATCAAATAGGGATAATCATATGCGATAAAGTGCTGGGAGAGATAATTGCAATGTTAAATCAAGCCATTATTATTCCATGCTGGCTTTTTAATCCTCTGAGCCCTCTGACTACAATATAGAAATATCACCGAGAGGAGACGAGAGGGCGGGCAGGCAGTCCCTTCCCTCTCCAGGAACTCTGGGGCCTGGGTGGGAGAGGGGACTTCTGTGTCGCTGGGGCAGCCCTGGCGCAGGGCAGGGGGTGATACAGCCCCTTCACGGACAAGAAGTGAGAAGCCGAGGCTCGGGGAGGGGAGCGACTCCCCTCTGATTTTTCCCAAGAAAGTCAGCTTCAAAACGGTGAGAATAATCTGAATTAGAAAAATAGTGATAAGATTAAATGAAAGCAGGGATCGGCAAACTTGGTCCATGAAAGACCAGCTAGTCGATATTTTGGGGCACCTGGGCTTCCAGTCCCTGTCTCAACCCTCCGCTTACGATAGTAAGCAGATGGGATGGGGAGGGGTGTTGGAGGCGATCTCAGGGTTCTCCAGAGATACAGAAACAATAGGATGTGTGCATAGAGAGAACGAGATTGAGTAGAAAGGGTTGGATCACCTGATCATGGAGGCTGGTGGGTCCAAAATTTCCTTGCCCGTTAGGGGAGAATCACCCCTCCTCCTCACCAGCCCCTGCTTCCCTCCTTGGGCTGTCACAAAGCCCACGAGGCAGTGGCTGAGGAGTCCTTCAGAGACCTGCAAGTAAAGAGAATTTTTCTTTGGGAGGGGCTGTGGGGAGGGCCCCTGGCCCACCCAGTCCGTGAAGGGGGCCCCTCCTTCCCTGGGGGACAATGCATGCTCTCCACTGGGGTCTGTGCACCTGACGCTGCCCTTCTGCCCCCCAAGTGGGCTTGCTTCCACTTCTCAGCCCATGAGCATCCAAGTGCCGTGTCTTCTTAGCTCTTTCTGGATCGGAGTTGACGAGCTGGCAGGGCTATCTCTGATGTACGACTTCAAGAAAATCCCCCGAGCAAAGGTGAAAGGACCCATCTGGCGTGGCACAATCATTGTTTATCCTACAATAGGCAGGAAATAGGATTGCGTGGTGAAAATCTCAGGGCTGATGTGTCATTATTAGAGTCAGCTTTTAACCCAAAGAGATCTGGTCAGAAGCCTAACTCCCATTTACAAGCCAAGCCAACTGGGGCAAGCGACTTCGCCTTCCCCAGCCTCAGTCTTCTCCTCTGTACAAAGGGTATAAAGACATTCACCCCCGGGTTGTGGTGAGGAATTAGAGTCATGTGTGTAAAGTGGGAACGCACAGCCTGGCACCTAGTAGGCTCTTGAGCTGTGGTGGCTGTTATTGGACCAATGAGACCATGCATACGGAGCACGCAGTCCCCCCTGGCACACAGTAGGCCCTCCGCATGTGGCCGTTCATTCATTCAACAACTTGTTTTTTGGAGTTTCAACTGTGTTCCAGGCCTTTGTTATCACTCCTTTTTGCCTTCTCCTTTTCGCACCTCCTATAGCCTAAAAATTGCACGGAGCCTTCATACTCCACTATTTAAAGCACCTACTATGTGCCAGGTACCTTGCCGGGTGCCCTGTGCATGATCTCTTACTTAATTCCTACACTCACCCCCTGATGCATTATTATTAGCCCTATTATGTAGCCAAGGAGGCGGAGACACAGCAAAGTTAAGTAAATTTCCCAGACTGGGGCTAAGGGGTGGGTCGGGATTTGAATCCGCATAACTAAGCACTTGGTGACCCTGCTTCTGGGTCAGGAAGGAATTGGAGGCACCCCTCTCCTCTCTGACCCCACGCTGCTTCTCCAAGTTGTTGGAGTAGGCAATGCAGGGGCCGCAGAGTCAAGTGTCTATCAGATGCTCAGCAGCGGACGTGAGGGAAACCACTGGGTGGGGACAGTGGTGACCAGGCTGCACATGTCCCTTGGGTGACTGTTGCCATATTACAATGCAGGCCCGATGTCTCCAGAACTTCTGATTTTTTTTAAGATAAGCTGCAAATTAAGATTTTGAAATGGAAAAATGTCCCAATTTAAAAATGGTGGCAACAGAATTAAAAAAAAAATCCCTGCGCAAGTCAGGCGGCCAGTCTGCAGCATCTGGATGTTTGCCTTGTGCAGGGAGGGGGCTGCAGGCTGGGGAGGAGGAAGCCAGAGGCCTCAGCCCTGCCTGACCCTGCCTGACCCCTATCACTGCCCTAATCCTCCCTAGGCAGCCCTCTGCTTGCTCCCCATGCCATTAACCTCCCTCCCCAGCTCTTCCTGGGAAACCCACTGAGGCCCAGGGAGCCAAGGCTATGACAGCAGGGCGTGGGGGTGTCTGTGGGGGGGAGATGGGGTCAGAGGGGCTTTGCTGGGAGACAGGGACTCAGCCCTTCCCAGGGCCAAGGAACCACAGCTCTGGTCACGCCTTGAGCAAGTCAGGGAAAGAATCAAAGCCTCAGAATAAAGCCCCTAATATTCATCATGTGACCTGGTTCCTTCTGCCTTTCCCCACCCCCTCATCCCTCCTTCTGGCTCCCTTCCCCTTCCTGTCTGCCCTCTTTTACCTCCTCTTCCCTCCCCTCCCCTGGCTCCCTGGTTTCCAAAACATTAGCTGAATTTCCTTTAGCAGTGTTGGTTTTAGACAACTGCAGTCCCTGTGAGGTTTCTCTGGGGGCACGGAGCTGTGATTCAGAAAAATTCAAACTAGGCTTCCCAGACATCCAGGGGTGGCCTGTGTATTCACTCAACAAACCTGAGTGGAGCTCTTGTTCGCATTGGAGCCCTGTGTGCTGTGCTGGGCACACCGTTCACGCGTCCGTTCATTCATCAGTCCTCAGACGGCCTTAGTCTTCCCATAGCATTAGAGTGAAATGCACATTCCTCACTATCTGCCCACAGCTCATCTCTCTGCTTCTCTAGCCCAGTCTCCTGCCTCATGCCCCCTTATCCACCCTGGCCTCTTTGTTATCCTCACCGTAGCGACTTTCACTTGCGGAGTTGAAGTCCCCCCTGGTCAGGGAACTCCGAAAACAAGAAGCAGTTATGTGATAGTGACTGTGGGAGCTCTGAGGAGGGGCCTAATCCAGGCAGACTTCCTGGAGGAGGCAACTGAGGCTGAGTTTTGAAGAACAAGTCAGAGTTAGCCAGGTCAGAGGGAGATGGGAGTGGATGGGTGGGGTGACAGAGGTGTTCCAGGCAGAGGGAAACCCTTGGGTGAAGCTTGGAAGATGGGACACATGGGGCATTCATGTTGGAATTGCAGGTGGTGTGGTCAGGCCCACATCAGACAAAGCTCACAGCCAGGCTGGGTGCTGTGCATTTGCTGGGATCCCTTAGACAGATGACATAAGCTCTGTGCTTCCATTTCCCCACCTATAAAATGGAAAGTATATTAGTCCCAGTTTTATGGGGTTGTTAGGAGGCAGATGGGTTAAGACGCAGATGGGTCTCAGAAGGGCCTGGCACGCAGTGAGCACTAGTCAGCGTCGGCTCCGCTTGGTGGGAAAGCCCATGAGCATCTGGGGAAGAGGCAAGCTTCCTCTCAAGGGCAGTGGAGAGCTGGGATGCAGGGCAGGGGTGTAGTCAGACTGGGAAGATTGGAGGCTGCTCTGGAGCCAGGAGGAGGCTGCCTGGGAGGGAGGGAGGGAGGAAGGGAGAAGCTGGAGCCTGGGGGTGGGGGTGGGAGGGGGAAAGGGGGAGCCTGGCCAGTACCCCCTGGTTAAGAAGGTGGGCTCGAGGCAGACCCCCGGGATGCAAATCCCTGCTTTCGCCGCTTACTCGCTCTAGAATCTTGTCAAGCATCTTAACTCAGTTTCCCGATCTGTAAAGTGGGCATGACAATAGTACCCTCCCCAGAGAGTCATGATGAGTAGAAATGAGTTCATTCATGAGAATCGCTCAGAACGTCATGAGTACTTAACATCCATCTGATCAGCTAGGATTATTATTAAATATAAAGTTAGTGGATGAAAGGAAAGGCTGCTGACGTTATTTTTGCCTGGGACAAAAAAGGATCTCAAATCGGGCCTCCTACCTTGGCAGCCGCGCTGTGTGGGAAGCCTGGGGGCCAGGAGATGTGTAGTGTAGGCTCCTCCCCAGCAGGTAAATCACTGCCCATCTCCTAAGGGGCCAGCCCCGACATCGCCATCGCTGATAAAGGAGAAGACAGGAGCTCGCTGCTTTGTGTCTGCATATAAGACGTATAGCTCACTCTTCCGGAGCCCAAAGCCGCCCAGCAGCTGGTAGAGCATGAGAGAATGTCCAGGGTGGGCAAGAGAGGTGGGATGGACCCACGTCCACTTTCCTGGGTTTTCTTCTCTGAGCCTCCCTTCTTTGGGGAGCAGAACTTGCCCAGCCTCGAGAGAGGCCCGGGTTCTCTCCTTCAATCGCTGTGTGACCTCAGGAGATCTGCCAAGCCTCTCTGAGCACCAGTGTTCTCATCTATAAAGTGGGGATGGTGATACGAACCTCCCATAGCTGGTGGGTGGATTGAGGACAATATACGAGTCGAAGGCCCTAGACAATGGGTCCTCTGGGTCTCACAGAGGGTTCAGCTGGTAATGAATCAAAGTTGCTCTGGAAATTGTAATCATTAAGGGCACAAGTGTGGGGAGTCAAGCAGAACAGCCTTGCACCCCAGCTTGGGCAATTCACTGAACCGGAAGTGCCCACCTCACTGGGGAGGAGTAGATGGGATGATGGGCCTAGGGGCTCAGTTCAAGGCCTGGAGCACAGGAGGGCTCCGTAAATGCTGGCTGGGATCTTACTAGGTGTACTTGGGCTGGGGGGGAGAGGACTGTGTGCCCCGAGGGGGAGACCCGTCTCTGGGCTGCAACGTGGGACTCTGGGGCCATGGGAGGTATCCTCTAAATCCCCTGAGCAAACAAGGGCAGCTTGCTGCAAAGGCAGGCGCGGGAGACTTGGAGGAGGGAAGGAGGACAGCATCCTTGTGAGCAGTGTGACAGGCGTCCGGCTGCAAAGACGAGGCTGGGAAGAGCCTGGAGCCTCCCGCCCTGCATGGGGTGTCTCCGGGGAACTCCCCATTTCCAGTTGGGAGAAAGGTCCTGTGCCCCCTTTTGAATGGCGTTGAGTTTTGATATTTGGTTTATAAGAGTTAATTATGAGAGGAAGTGCTTTTAACAGACTATTTGTGAAGCATGAACTCCCATGCCTAGCATTTACTGCATGTGCCTGCTATGGGCGGGTCAGGGACACAGCCCATGACAGGTAGCGCCCGTGTCCTGAAGGCGCTAACACTCCAGTGGGGGCGACGATGCTCGCCAAGAACAATAGCAAACAGACACCAAATCCATAGGATCCTATGAGATGGTGAGCGCTCTGGTTCCAACAAAGCAGCGTGACAGGAGAGGGACCAGGAAGCGGCATTAAATGCAGGGGGCAGCAGATGGCTCCCTGGTGATTTGACATTGCCTTCATCTAATTATAAGAAGGAGCAAGCCCTGTGAAGATCTGGGCTAAGAGTACTGCAGAGCGGGGGATGGAAAGTGCAAAGACCCTGGGGTAGGAGCAAGCTTGCGGGTTTGAGGAACACAGAGACGAAAACAAGACACAGCTCCTGCCTTCATGGAGCCAAAGCCTGAAGACTCAGATAATTAGCAAATAGTGGAATATTTTGATGGAGGAGGCACAAGTTTCAGGGTGAATGCAAAGGAGGAGCATCCTATCCAGCCTCGGAGATCAGGGAAAGCTGCCTGGAGGAAGTGATATCAAATGTAGGGCCTAAATTAGCAGGTAACAGAAGAGGAGAGGAGGGGTTTTCCAGCAGACAGAACAGCATAAGCCAAGTCCTAGAGATGGGACAGGGCCTGATACATTTATTAGGGGAATTGCAAGTAGCCGGATATGGTTGGGACCAAGTGTTAGGGTGTAGGGATGAGACTGAGGGTGTTCCTGTCATTTAGAAAAGGGGCCCGGCCTGACCCAGCCGAACAAATGTGAACGCAGAATTGCCATGCTGAGCGGGACATTTTAGGGTGTGCAGGAGGGTTCCAAGAAGGAACTGGAGGCAGGGAGGCCAGCTCGGAGAAGGTAGAACGATGGCCATGGCAAGTAGAATGCTGGGGTGAAAAAGGCAAATTCCAGAGAACTTACAAGGCAGAAAGGACTGGTCTGGGGACAAGCTGAGGCCTGGGGACAAAGGCAGGTGATGGGGCCTCAAAGAATCCAGGAAAGCAGATGCTGAGGGTCTTCTGGCTTGGGGGATGGGCAAAGTGGGTTTTGAAGCCTGACGGACCCAGGTCAAGTCCTGGCTTGTCCACTGCCTAGCTGTGCCGGCAATCACTTGCCCTCTTTGAGCCTCAACTTCCCCACCTATCTGATAAAAATAGCAGAGCCCACCTCCGGAGCTATTACGCAGATGAATGTGAGCTCGGGGAAAAGTTGCTGGCATGTGGCAGGTACTCAGCACGTCAATTCCCTTCCTTGACCCCTGGCCTTGGGCACCCACTGAGCCTCCTGGGGCCTCTATTTTCCTGACTGTGAAATGGGAATGAGAACATTGGCCTTGCAGTATTTCCGCAGGGGTTGGCGAGATGGCCCAGGACACTGACACAGAGTAGGCGCTCACAGATTCATCCTCTTCTCTTCCTCCCTCCCCAGCGGGAAGAGCAGAGACAGCATGGCCTGGCAGGAGCTGGTGCTGGCCGCCTACCTCCTCGTGTTCCCCTCCGCCATGGCGGACTGCCTGTCCCGGTGCTCCTTGTGTGCTGTGAAGACCCAGGACGGGCCCAAGCCCGTCGACCCTCTGGTAGGTTTCAGGATGCCCAGGTCCTGGGCCTGTGTGTGGAAGGGGCCATCTGTGCGGAGTCTGGGCCACTGTGTGTCTGTCCTGTAGACTTGTCCTACCTGTGCCAGATAGATCCTGCCCTGGAGTCGGCCGGCGCAGGTTCCCACCTCCATCCCCACCTCGGACCTCACCACCACCACCACCACCGGCTCGCTCCGTTCTGGGAAGGACACTCAGGTCTCCAGGGAGGCAACAAGGAGGGTCATTAAGGAGGCAGTGCTGGCTTTGGGAGTGGGCAGCCTTTTGGTAACTTTCCAGGGCTTCTTACCACCAGGCTGCTGGGCACCTCCCAGTCTAGTCATTCCCATGGAAGGAGATCTTTCCGCCACCACCAAATGCCAGGATCTGGTGGACAGGATCCAAGCCTTGACCCTTCTCCTGGGTCTTAGTGTCTCTTGGCCTGGCCTTGTTGGCTTTGCTTTGAATCAAACTCCCCCACGTGTCTCTTCCTTGATGGCAGACAGGTGAGAGTAAAGGTCCCAAGGGTGTGGTGGACGGAGCACTGCCGCTTTCTCACTCCGAGACCCCGGAACTCCGCCTCTTCAGTTTCCACACCTGCAAAATGGGCGTGATTCTATGAGATAACAATGCGAAGTCCTCAACACACAGTTCTAGTCGCTCTTCAGCGAGAGGCACATGATCACAGGGGAGCACAGAGGTTAAGCACCAGGGCTTGTGGCATTAGCCTGCCTGGGTCCAAGTTCCAGAATTGTCCAGTGTTGTCACTGCTATCCTCATGACCATCATCATGTTCACATTCAAATTCCCCCAGCACTCCTATGAAGGAGATACTTTTGTCCCCCGGGTTTGATGAGCCCTCAGACCCCTCACATGTGTTCTCTCCACCAGCCTGCATGGCTTCCGTGTCTCTCTATCACGTGGCAAGAACATCCTTCACACTTGGGAAAGGTGGGGAGAACCAAATACTGCCTCTGGAGTCAGGAGCTCAGAGGATGAGTGAGCACACCACAGAGCACTCCAGGAAGATCTTACCTGGGATGTTGGCATTGCGTTTCGTAGCCGCGTTTCCCTGGGAAAGTTGTTCCACCTCTCCACGTCTCTTTCCTCCTCTTACACACAGGTGCACAGTCCCCTACCTTCATGCACCCCTGGGAGCATTGAAGTGGGAAGCCTGGGGCTTAGTAATGGCAGCTACTTTTGATTTTCTGACATGGGAACAGAGACTATCTGGGGCAGGGGAGTGCATGGCGCTTGATGGTCCGACGGGGGTGATGTTACCACTCTGGTCTTTGGGGGGATTTGCAGATTTGTTCCCTGCAATGCCAGTCCGCTCTGCTACCGGCTGAGGAGTGGGAGACATGCCAAAGCCTTCTGTCCTTTTTCACCCCCTTCACCTTCGGGCTCAATGGCAAAGAAGACTTGGAGACCAAGGCCGCTTTGGAGGAACCCTATAGTGAGCTGGCCAAGCGCTCTGGGCCCTTCCCGAAGGAGCTTGAGAAAAACAGATTTCTCCTCAGCACCCCGACAGAGGAGAATGCCCTGAGCAGGAGCCTGGCGGAGAAGCTCTGGGGTTTCTCTGGCAGATTGGGTGAGGGAGGGGAGTCTGAGCTGATGGGGGACACCCAGCTGAATGATGATGCCCTGGAGGCTGGGGCATTGGATTCCAATGAGGAGGACACCAAGGAGCAGGTCAAACGCTATGGGGGCTTCTTGCGCAAATACCCCAAGAGAAGCTCAGAAGTGGCTGGGGAGGGGGATGGGGACGGAGGTAGGGCGGGCCACGAGGACCTGTACAAACGCTACGGTGGCTTCTTGAGGCGCATCCGTCCCAAGCTCAAATGGGACAACCAGAAGCGCTATGGAGGTTTTCTCCGGCGCCAGTTCAAGGTGGTGACTCGGTCTCAGGAAGACCCCAATGCCTACTCTGGAGAGCTTCTTGATGGGTAAACCCCTCCCCATCGTGGAGTTGAGTCAGGAGCTCCCCCTGACACCCTTCCAGATTGGAGTGCCCTCATCCATCCTACCTTATATCCCCTGAACCCATGCTTAGTTCAGCCTGGTCTGCAAAACATCCAAACCCAGCCTGCCTCTTTTCTGCCTGGGGTGCAGTGTTCGTCTGGAGTCAGCAAGGAGGAAGGATGGAGGTTCCCCTCTCCAGTAGGCTCAGTGCTAGGTCCCAACTCTAGAACATTGAAACTACTGCCAACAGCAGCTTTTGCTATTAACCCCTCCCCCCATTAATGTGACTCCCCAGTTCCAGGAATCCAGACTGACTTGTTCTTCATCCCTCTAGATAAATAGCAAAACAAGATAAAGAAACAAATAGAAATCCTAACACTTTATCCCAAACCTTAAAGGACCTCCTTGTGCTCCCCACTTCGGAGACCATGCTTTAGGTAAAACACTCAAATGCTGCATTTTATTGGAGCAGGAAGTCCTACACTAGAGCGTTCAGTCCTCCAGTGGGCACGTGTTCAGTTGTGTTCTCTGTGTTCTCATCGTTTAGAAACACCCTTCTCGAGGAACCGAGTTCCTGGACTCCAGTTCATGTTGGTACCTTGGATAGCACCCAACTCCTCACGTGAGAGGAAGGGCATGAAAACCCCTTCCAAAATGGTAATGAGAGCAGTTCTCCCACTGAATACTGAAATGATCAGGAAGGGAGCAAGACAAACCAATTTGTTCTGTGCAGCAAACTAAAAATGTGGACCAGTTCCTTCAGCCCTCATTAAACTAATTAAACAGATCAGCAGCACACTCTTACCCCAGGATGAACTGAAGCTGAGTCAAGTTGATGAGGTTAAGCACAACCATGTTCTTGAGCAGCTGAATTGGCCGCCAAGAGTCTTAGCCATCTGGCCAAACATATGCATTGGGCATTGGGTAAGGGAATCCAGAAGCAACAGCTAGAAAGACAAAAAGGCTTTCTTCAACCCCTGTGATGATTCTTTCCTCTTGATTTCTCAGAATAAAACCAGAAAGAGGCATGAAGTGATTAAGTGCTTGAGGCCAAATGAATTCTCTTGATTCAAATAACCCAGAATCAGAGGCAGAGACCTCCCAATGTCTTGGTTTCAATCAAAGTCTTCTCTCTCTGTTGCTCTTGCTCGCTCATCCCCGGGCACTATGGTTTGGTCTGTGGGTCCAGGAGGCTGGGCTGGATAGGAGAGGAAAGGGTCTTGAGTTCAGTTAATTTGTATAAGATGCTACTGAGCATACCTCTTCATGCACAACCCCCAGGTCCCTCATGATGTTCTGAAATGTATGGATTGTTGTAGGGTTAACTTCGTGTGCTTTTAAAAAATCCCACTTATGCAATTTACCCAGAATTTGCTTATTCCTTAGCAGGCCTATGTTATTTCCTACTCCTCCAGTGCAATAAATAAAAGAAAGATGGTGATGACTCGGGGTGTGTATGTGTGCGCCTCAGTCTCCAGAGCGTGGAAAGACCATTTGCAGAAAAGAGTGCTGGGGAATGAAAAATACACACACAGACACACACACACACAAAGACACACACACACCTATTCATGTCAGAAAACTAAGTGTAGGATAACAGAAAGAGCACAGACTTGAGAACGCCTTCACCCTAAATTTGAGATCTGTGTGATGTTGGGTAAGTTACTTGCCTCTCTGAGCCTTAGTTTCCTCTCCTGTAAAAGAAAGACCCCCTGACTCCCAGGGACTGTCTCCTATGCTGGATTACTAAGGCAAGAGGGACAACTGTTCCTAGACAAAGGTGAAGAACTCTCTAGAGAGTGCGTGGCATAATGTCCTTTACTAAAATGACATGCTTTATTAAATGGCATCGAGGAGATATCTTTACATAGGGCTGGTGTGGAAGAGTCTCAGTAGCTCCAGACCTCGTGGGTCCCATTTGGCCACTGGTTTTCTGAGTGACTTTATAGAAAACACAGGGCCAGGGAGTTCGGTCTCCTTCCTTCTTTCCTTCATTCAAGAAAGAATTCATTGAAAGCCTACTGTGTGGTAGGTCTTTTTCTAGGTGCTGGAGGTACAGGAGAATAAAATGGACAAGGTCTCAGCTCTTATGGAACTTACAGTCTATGGGTGGGCAGACAAGTAAACAAAAATATAAATCTAAAATTAAAAATTAAATTTAAAAAATAAAAATGTAATGAATGTAAAATTAAATATAAATGAAATTTAAAATAGTGGTAATTATTGTGAAAGGAACAACTGGGATTTAGTAATAATGGATAATAGGGGTAGGGGAGGAAATATCCCCAGGGTGTTCAGGAAATCTTCCTTGAGGGATATTCTATTCTTGCTGTTCATAGGATCATCAAGTTGGAAGGAACCTAAGGTTGGGATTATCTCCTCCAACTACCTACTCTGTGCCAAAATTGACACACTGACAATAAATTTTTAACTTGGATTTCACAACATATTGCTACTCCTTAATAATTCAGTGTGGGGAAGTTCTATCTTTATGTTGGGTTGAAATTAAGGTTTCTTGTCACTTTGATGCATTGGGTCCTGATTTTGCTGTCTACCAGCCCAGGAACCTTTTCAGAATTTTCTGTTGCATGCAAACAAATGGCTCCTCACTATCTCAAATAAGTTAAATGAACAACAACAAAAAAAGAAGAAGAAGAAAAGAAAAGAAAAACCTAAACCTAAACCCAAAACTAAAACCAAAACCAAAACAACTAAGTAATTTGTTGGCTCACATAAATGAATACAGGATATTTACTTCAGGTACAGCTTGATCAAGGGCCTCAAAAAGAACACTGACACTTCTCTATCACTAAGATTTTTTCTCCTCTGTGTTGGATTCATTCTCAGACTCCACATGCTTTTCAGATGCTGACAACAGCTCCAGGCTATACCATGCAGGTTCATGTCTAGCATGCTATTTTCACAGGAAATCCCCATCAGAGTTTCACTGTACCTCATTAGCTCTGATTGGGTCATATGTCCAGTCCTGAGCTCTTGCCAATCATTATGGACAGGTTAACGTGATGCTCTGATTGTCAGGATTAAACCACATGGGCAGCCAGGGATTGATTCAATCCAACTCAAAGACCATGAGAGACGATGGACTCTGAAAAACAAACTGAGGGTTCTAGAGGGGAGGGGTGTGGGGGGATGGGTTAGCCTGGTGATGGGTATTAAAGAGGGCACGTTCTGCATGGAGCATGGGGTGTTATATGCAAATAATGAATCATGGAACACTACATCAAAAACTAATGATGTAATGTATGGTGATTAACATAACATAATAATAATAAAAAAACACAAAACAATCCAACTCAAAGTAGTTGGACTAGAAGTGGGGAAGGGGAAGTTTTTCTGAGGACAATTGGAGCATGGTTCCCAGTAGGAGAAAGAATAAATGCCAGCCCACCAAATAATAGATTGTCAACCCCCCCCACCTCAGTGAGTGAAATTAGCTGGGTGGGACCTGGGGCAAACTGGAGAGTGTATGTCATGGGGAATATGGGCTCAGGGTAGCCAGATTTGATCTTTAAGAGACCACAGAAATCTGACTTTGCTTTTTCTCCATGTAAGTAATTTTTTAAAAGAAGTATTGAGTAGGACAAACAATAGCATCTTTGGGACAAGACACATCACTTTCTTACCACTGTTCTGTGACCTCTCTAAATATATATATATTTTTTAAATAAGAAACACTTCTTTTTTGGGTTTTTACATTCTCCGCATATGCCATGGATTCCAGAATGCTATTGCTCTCTACTCCCTTTTCCGGACCCATTTCACTTGGTCAATGAGGCATGGCCATGGACGGTGGAAAGAACCTGGCTAGGGGTCACAGAGAGCTAGGCGGAGATCCCACTTTCCTGGGTGGCTCTGGGAGAGCCACTGCACTTCACTGAGCCTTGGTCGTGTGTGTGTATGTTTAAGATTTATTTATTTATTTTAGAGAGAGAGAGAGAGAGAGCGCGCATGCACGCAAGTGCGGGGAGGGGCAGAGGGAGAGATAGAGGGGAAACAGACTCTCCCACTGAGCGCAGAGGGAGATCATGACCTGGGTGGAAACCAAGAGTCAGATGCTTAACCAACTGAGCCACCCAGGCGCCCCTGAGCCTCAGTTTTCAATCTGTCGACTGGGGAGGAAAACTCTGACTTCCCTCACCAGAGGTGAGGTTTCGGTAATGGGAAGTCTCAGGTGCATCTGGCACACAAGAGGCTTATGACACGAGATGCTGCCCCATCTTGAAGGGTGATGCCTCTGATGACGGTATTCCAGATGTCACCTGAGCGAGGCAGACACCTGTGGAAAGAGCAAAATTCTCCTGATGGTAAGAGAAGGATGAAATTAAAAAAAAAAATTATTTTCTGTTGCTCTATAACATACATGCTGTCGAGTGTACTTAATCTTAAGTGTGCAGCTCAGTGGATTCTTACATATGTATACACCCCTGTGACCACTACTCCGATCACAATATAAAACATTTCCAGCACCCCAGAGGGGTGATCACTTTTTTATGAGGGATGGAGAGCAAGCCAGAGGAAGGATTGGAACAAAAATATTGCAGACCCTGCAGAGTCCTGATTCTCTGTCCATGTCACCAAGGCCACTGTGCAGCAATCACAGATCAGTCATTGGTTAAGGGATGCCAACATCCCGGTAACCTTAGAAGAGCATGTTACTAATAAGCACGCCGTTTCCACGACAACGCCATACACCATCCGCAGCGAGGAAAGTCTTTTTATAATGATCATGACAATCATAATGATCTCTCGGATTTAGATCATCCCTCCCCCACCCCCAGCTCCAAGCCCTTCACACAAACAGGCCCAGTGATGGGGCTTGTCTATTAATTAAGGGCCCCCAAGTGAAGACAACAAAAATCCCCACGACAGTGCTGGGAACAATGGTTCCCTAATAGGTGTCATTTCAGCATTCTTGATTCATGTGCTGCGTCCATGTGGACTCCCACTGTAGCTCTGGAGGTTTATAACAAAGATTTATAATTATTCTTCTGATATGTAAATTCGCACGTAAGTTGCACTTCTACCCTATTTGTCTTGTTCCTGTCTAACTTAAGCCAAGCCCCATTATTCTTTGTTCCCAGGACTCCCCTCATTCTTAGTCGCTTTTGACGTGAAGTTTGCCATGGGAAAATGCCCACCTAGCTCGTTCTTAACCTCCCTGTTACACCAGCATAGCTCCTAAAGGGCTTGCCCCCGTGTCTGTGAAATTTGGGAGTGCTTTCCTGTCCCTGGGAAGATCCATGCGGGGTTTGGACTTGGAGAAGGAAGGAGCACTGGACTGAGAGTCTGGGGACCTAAGCAGCTGATTGAGTGTGGCCAGGCTCTGCTAACTCGTAATGGGGGTGGGCTTTGGATTCTCCAGGACACAGTTTTCTCTTTTGTAACATGAAAAATGTAAAATGGATAATATCGTAAGGACTTTTGTCCTTTCTAAAGCTGACACATAACACTTGTCCTGCATCAAGCCCTGCACCAATAAATGATGAACAAAGCAAATGACCTTCGGTTTCCTTGTCTGACAATGGGGGTGATGATTTCTACCCTGGCAGGTAGTGGGGGTCACATAAGAAGACACAGGAACAGTGCTAACACCATCCCAATCCGAATTCATCCGATCACCTGATGAATGTTTATTGAGCAACTGTTGTATACCCTGCACTGGGGTAGGGGCAGGGGATTCAGCAGTGATCAAGTAGAGTCCCTACTTCATGGGGCTCACTTTCTAGGGGGAGGAGAGCAATCACCTATAGATTAACCAATGGGTCAATGTTTCAGGGGGGTATGGGTGCTATGAAGGAAATTAGAGGGTACAAGATGCAAGTGTTGGCAGATGGGAGAAGTTACTCAGGGGAGTCCCAGAGGCTTCTCTGGTTGGGGAGCCCATTTGGCCAGAGGTGTGTAGGAGGTGGGGAGGGGGAGCCTTGTGTGTATCTGGGGGAGAGCATTCCAGGCAGGGGAGCAGTGGTGCAAAGGCCAAGAGGAGGGTGCATATTTGCTGTGTAGAAAAGAGTAAGAAAGCCAAGGGGAGGAGTGAGGGCAGAGGGTAGGAGGCAGGCTGCAGAAGCAGACAGGACAGGTCACAGACACACGCCCCCCCACCCCGCCCCAGGACTCGGCACTGTCCCGGTGTGCACCATTACCCATAGAATTACTAGAGACTCCTTTACTCTCAAAGTGCCTGTCTTGGGTAATATAGCATCTCATTGCCCAACTTATGGGCATGGGAAGGACCTTGACTTTTGCTCGGGGTGAGGTGGGAGCACTGGAGGGTCTTAAGCACAAGAGGGACATTACCTGACACAAAAATTCAGAGGTATCAACGCTAGCTGCCATGTGGAGAGCAGGCTGCAGGGAGCATAGGGGTATCAGGACTCTGCCAGTGGTGTTGGTGGATTGCATTTAAGAAACCAGAGGACA